ATATATTTCTCAATCTCTACCTGTCTCTATCTCTATCTTTTATCTCTCTCTATCTCTACCTCCCCAACTCCCAGGAACTCTTTCTTTTTTTTCTTTCTTTCTCTTTCTTTTTCATTCTTCCTTTTTCTTTCTTCCTTCCTTCCTTCTATCCTTTCTTTCTTTCTTTCAGTTTTTTGAGACAGGGTCTCACTTTCTAGCTCAGCCTGGCCTCCAACTTGCAGTGATCCTCCTGCCTCATCCTCCTGAGTGTTGGGATTACACGTGTGCACCACCATACCCAGCTAAGGTACTTTTTAAAAAAATCATCAAATTAATCTATTAATTTTCTAGAATCTTGTAGAATAATTTTTGACAAAAAATTACTCACCTTTAAATTCTCTGTAATAACTGTTCCCTATTGCTCTAGTTTTACAATATATGTAATTGTCTTAGGTTTTTAAAATTATGACTTCTGTTCCAGCCTTTTCTCCCCTGATAATTTTTAACTTTGTCTTTACCCTATTAGGCCCCAGTTAAGAATAAAAGAGTTGGGCCGGTGATTTAGCTCACCGCCTACCTTGCAAGTGCAAGGTCCCGAGTTTGATCCCTGGTACCAAAAATAAATAATAATAATAATAATAAAAGAGTTAAGTGTTTTTTAATCCTTAAAATGTCTTTGGGTGTCTCTGGAGTGGCCATTGGGTAAACCAGGGATTTGCTCCCCAACCTTGCAATAATGGACAATGGAAATAATTCTGTTTAGGAATTCTTCAAATTTACACTGTGGTGTGATTCTTCTCTTCCCTTCTCTTCTCTTCTCTTCTCTTCTCTTCTCTTCTCTTCTCTTCTTTTCTCTTCTCTTCTCTTCTCTTCCCTTCCCTTCCCTTTTTTCCCTTCTCTCCCCTCCTCTGCCCTCCTCTCCCCTCTTCCCTCTTCTCTCTTCCCCCTTTCCTTTGCATCTCCTCTCTTCTCCCCCTCCCTTTCCTTCTTTCTCTTCCCAATCTCTCCCTCCCTCCATGTCCTCACCCTCTCCTTGAACTTGTAATTTTCCTGCCTCGGTTCTTGGCTTCTAGAGTAGCTGGGATTACATTCCCTTCTCTCCCCTCCTCTGCCCTCCTCTCCCCTCTTCCCTCTTCTCTCTTCCCCCTTTCCTTTGCATCTCCTCTCTTCTCCCCCTCCCTTTCCTTCTTTCTCTTCCCAATCTCTCCCTCCCTCCATGTCCTCACCCTCTCCTTGAACTTGTAATTTTCCTGCCTCGGTTCTTGGCTTCTAGAGTAGCTGGGATTACAGGTGTTCGGCACCATGCCTGGTTGTACTAAGTAGTTCAGGCTGGGCTTAAACTTAATATGTAGCCCAGGCTGGTCTCAAACTCTCAGCAAGCATCCTGCCTCAGCCTCCCCAGTGTGAGAATTACATGCCCAGCTCATGAAAATGATGTGTTTTAAGTAGCAAAATTTTTAAAGATTAATTTTATTGGTACACTTTTGACCTACATAATGATCACATTCATCATAGGGAATTTGTACCTGTACAGAATATATTTTAATTCTTTTTTTTTCTTTCCCATTCCCTTCCTACCAGGAGTGC